TACTTTCCAGGGTACCACTTGCCGTCATCGTAGGGAGTGCCAGGGCCTTCGTACTTGCCCGGAGCCCACTTGCCATCGTCGGCACGCTTTGCCTTGGCACCGGGATACTTTCCAGGGTACCACTTTCCATCGTCATAGGGGGTACCGGCACCCTCGTACTTGCCCGGAGCCCATTTGCCATCATCGGCCCGCTTCTCCTTGGCGCCAGGGTATTTGCCGGGATACCACTTGCCGTCGTCGTAAGGTGTACCGGCGCCCTCGTACTTTCCGGGCGCCCAGGATCCGTCGTCGGCGCGCTTCTCCTTGGCGCCGGGATATTTGCCAGGGTACCACTTGCCGTCATCGTAGGGGGTGCCGGGGCCCTCGTATTTGCCCGGAGCCCATGAGCCGTCGTCGGCGGGCTTGGCGGTGGGGAGGGCGAGGGCCGTGACGGCAAAGGCGATGAGAGTAAGGGAGTAGCGCATGTTGAAGTGTGGAGGTATAGGTATTAAGTGCTTGGTGTTGGGTTGGGTAGATAAAGGTGGGGTTGTAGGTACGTGAGATTGTCGTGTAAGTGATTAGTTGAGACGAGGGTAGATGAGATGGATGGATGAGGACGGAAGATGCTGTGAGTGATGAGAGTGATGAGGAACAATAGATGGTAGGAACAGATCATTAGATCTTATATAGGTGCAACACTCCAGCAGCTCCTATTCCTCATGTCCGTGAGGCGATACGATTGATGTTGTTGGCCTACTGTACGGCTCGAGTCTTGGTGTAAGCTTCCCATGGCCTCCGCCTCCGCCTCCACAAGCACATACCCTATCCCGCCTTAGACAACTAGGGACATAGGTAGGCCACCATAGTTGGTGCGCTGCTGCAGATTGGGCGCAGCTTCACCGACTACTCGGCCTACTCAGCCTTACGCCTGAGTGTTCGCTGTGGAGGGGGCTTGCGATCCGACGATCTGACGGGAATTCTTACGAATGTCCTCGGTGGACTCGACGGCCAACGCGACTCCCGAATGGGACAAGCTGAGCACATGGGGGAAGCTTAAACACTCCGGCCAGCGGGCCAGTAAGCCACTTGGCAAGCCACCTCGCGTTGCTATTTTCACTCGTGTCTGTAGTCGTTGGGTGCATCCTTCAGCCGATCGGGTCTAGCGTCAACGGCAGCGTCATCCACTTCCCCAGCTTACGGGCTTTGCTCCGCCTGGCAGGCGGACTCGCCCCAATCGCGGCACGGCGCCGCATGGCCGAATGTCTAGCCTTTGCATCCGTTGGTGTGCTTGCGGCTGAGCAGCTGACCACACCAACTCTGGCGAGCCATGCCGAGTGCTGACTGTCGTCCCGACGCCGACTGTCTCTTCCCCCCTCCGCCCTTCGCATACGGTAACGTAACAGCGTCCAGTCGGCATCGCCATCGTGGCTTGTATTTGCACCTTTCGAGCGGCGGCCGAGTGCGGGTGCTGCGGCGATCCGGCTTGGGCCTTGCTCGTGACGGGCTGCCTTGGTCATCTGGGCTCCCAATGTCTCTCACCATGGCGGGAGTAGCTCCCACGCTGTCTCAGCGGATACGCTTCCAGGCCGAATTGGTGGTTGACGACTCGAGCCTTCTCCGCGACCACATGTCACACAGAGAGAGGCTCGTGTCCCGGAATAGCCAGCCTCTAAAATGAGCCCCAACCACGGCAAGGCGCAAATGAAGCTTCGGGCCCAAACGGACTATGGCTTCGAGGCTGCAGCCGGTCTCAAAGTCGCGATGGAGCCATGTTTCGCTAGTCAACAGTCCACCGCTCTTCAAATTTACGGTCAGTCGCTCCCGGAGACATCTCGTGGGAGGACGTAGGAGATGGCTGGTGAGACACCTGCTGGAGCTGGATCTTTAGCTGAAGCATGCTGTGTTCTTGACCGCTCGCGATGATGAAATGTTGGATTCAGCACTGAATCTGTCAGTCAGCACTACTTCGCCGGGCCCCAATGTCGTGTTACGTTCCATTCGGCATGTTGGATTTGTTCCGAGCCGCCCTCCCTGACGACCTCGTGTGTGCTCAAAGGCGTTTCTTGGGTGATCAGTGACGATAGCTTCACGTCATCATGTCAAACCACTAGCCTGTCCCTCAAATTGCGGTGCAAGACGAGGCCGAAGAGCCGGAAGGAGCTGAGCCCGAGAACGTCATGATCAAAGGGAAGGCTAGGCTTGAGGATTAGAGGGAAATGTCGAGAAAAAGGAAGCGACAGGCTTTGACGATTGCAAATGATTCTCTCCAAGCATGTCGGCAAGTCAAGTAACTTCCGTAAGTATTCGCTGCGATAATGTGATGATGAGGAGGTTATTTGCGTCCGTCAAGCCAATATGTCGCTGCGCTGTGATACCTGTCAGGTTCTGCCAGCGGGGTAACTGAGAGCAGCAGTGACATGCCTGGTCAGGCGAGTACATCATGTTGGTAAGGCTAGGAAGTAACGCAACGAAATGCAAGACATTCGGGGTCATACGGGGCAGGGACAACCCCAACCCACGTCCTGTGCGCCTGCCTTTGGAACGTGCTGGCGGCACCTGCTGACAGGCATCCCCGTCACTGGGCCCCCCCACGGCGCACCCATTCCGCGGAAGCACGTCAGAAGGGAGGGAAGTACAAGGACAGCCATACGCATGAAAGTTTGTCCGTTTTTGGGAGGGGCGAAACGCCCCAGTCAGTATATCACTGATTCAAACAAGTGACCAAGCCAACGTAGTAATGCTCGCCGCCGATGACGGCTTTCCTCTTTACACCCTCATCTACCCACACCTCAGACAATGCTCAGTACTTCAGCGTCTACGGCTGATGATCCCGGTCTCTGCCTTCCAACTCCAACAACAACGAAGTGCACCAAGCGTACCAAGCGCGGTCCCCGACCCCGTATCTCGCCGCCGGGGTAGATGATTGGGCTCCGTAGGGCGTGGATATGACATTTTTCGACAACTTTATGCGGGGTGCCAGTTCTGATGTCATGGTTTATAGGGTCCTGGGCGCCCTGCGATGACCCTCGTCGATTTCATGGGTGGATTTGCTCAACTCTCGAGTCATTAAAATTCAGATGCGAGAGATGGTACACCATATTCCTCCCACATTGCATAAGTTTGCTTTTTCCGAAGACTAATCTCTCAAGGAAACCTGCGAATTGAACTCTACCCTTTCAACCGCTTCCAGGCATGCGGAACCCAGCATCGCTAAACTCATGACTGCCTGAACCAACCTCGATAGACCGGCCGGTGCTAGGCATGACCACAATAGCACGAGAGTTTGGTGGCACTTCCAATGTGAGATGGAAACCATGCTCATCGACACTCCATTCCGTCGAAATCCTTCCGAAGGGGCTGACTAAAGTGGCCTTCGCTTTGGTGATACCGCCTCCTGGAACGGGCGCGACCCTTATTCTCTTGTAGCCCGGTTCGGCAGGGGCGATCCCCCCCGTGTTTCGATGAATCCAGTCGGCGACCGAGCCGAATGCATAGTGATTGAAGCTCAGCATCTCGCCGGGGTTTAGCGAGCCGTCTGGAAGAAGGCTGTCCCATCGTTCCCAGGTGGTCGTTCCGCCCATGACAACTTGGTAGAGCCATGAGGGACTCTTCTCCTGGAGCAGCATTCGGTAGAAGTCCTCTGTTGCGTTCACCTTGGTCAGGGCGCCACCGAGAGGCGCGGTTCCCGCGAAGCCGGTGCCGACGAGATAATCGTTATCGGCGATCAGCTGCCGCAGAGTATCAGTGCCATTCGTCAGGTCTTTGACGTTGGAAAAGAGATCAAATTCGAGAGCCAGAGCATAGGCAGTCTGGGTCGCGTTGGCGAGCCGACCATCGGACATCCAGTCTTGCTGGAACATCTGCTGCAAGTCAGAGCGCTGTGCGCGGTACTTGTCTACCACATCGCCAGCCTCGCCCAGTGCCTCAACGATGTCAGCGAGAAGTCCCGTCATCTGTACTAGGTAGGCATCGGCGACGAGATACGGGCTCGTCATGGACTGGGCCGGATCATTGAATGGCGACTCGGGATCGAGCCAATCTCCGAATTGAAACTTTGTGCGGTCCCAAAGACCATCGCTGTTCCTCGCAACGCCCTTGTCGATCCAATTTTGAGCCTGTGGGAGGTGTTCCCTCAGTAATACAGAATCGCCAAACGCTTGCCATGTATTCCAAGGACTACCGACGACCACGTCTCCCCAGATGGCGGTCGGTATTTGATCACCGAAACCTGAGGGGATTGTTGGTGTGTATGCGTACGGAATCATCTTCCCGTTGGAAGACATTTCCGACCACACGTCTCGGTGCCAGCCACGCCAGAAACCGGCCGTGTCGTACAGGTAGTTTGCCGTTGGCCCAAACATGTGAGCATCACCTGTCCACCCAGCGCGTTCGTCTCGCTGGGGACAGTCTGTTGGGATAGACATAAAGTTGCCCTTCATTGACCAGCGCACATTGGAATGAAATTTGTTGATGAGCTCGTTCGACGACTCAAACCAACCCGTTTGCTCCATGTCCGTGTGCACAATGACAGCTATCAAGTGGTCGGCGTCCAGCGGCGTCTCGGCAGGCCAGTCATCAACCTGGGCGAAGCGGAAGCCGTGATAGGTGAATTTTGGCTCATAAGTGATCTCCCGACCACTCAGCCAGACTTGTTCCTCCTGCCAGGCTTGACGCAGGGGTCTCCGGGCAAGCTCGCCGTCTTCGAGGACTTCTGCATGTCTGAGCTGGATCCGGTGACCGGACGGACCGGTGGCCCGAATTCGGAGCCAGCCGACGAGGTTCTGGCCAAAGTCAACCAGCGTCTTGCCCGATAGGGATTTGAATATACGCTGTGGTCTGATCTCTTCGGTGGCTCGGATGGGCGGCTGGTCGGGCGAGGCGAGGCGGCCTCTGAGCTTGTCTAGCGATCGAGTGCCAGACCAGCCGGAGGCGTTGAAAGAGCGCGTTGCCCACCCTTCAATCTCGACAGCGATGCGGTCGTCGAAGTGTTCCCCATTGTAGATTTCGCCCGAGACGATGGGACCCTCAGTCAAGGACTTCCACGACGCGTCGGTAGGTATCTCGATGGCCGTCCCGTCTTCGGCTGTTAAAATCAACACTGCCAAGAGGCCGAGCGTATCGCCATAGATGTTTCGATTTCCGCCGCCCCATCCGAGGCGCCCAGAGAACCAGCCTTCACCAACAACGGCGCCGAGGACTGATTTTTCACCAGCGACGAGCATCTCAGTGACGTCGTACGTGTCATAGACGTGTCGGTGGTTGTAGGATTGCCACCCTGGCGCGAGCACATGGTCTCCTACTCGACGTCCGTTGATCTCGGCCTCATAGAGCCCCAAGGCCGTGATGTAGAGGCGAGCCGACTTGAGGTTTGAGGGTACGTCAAAGTCTTTCCGGAAGTACATGGGCCGCTTCGGTCCGTCGGTAGGCTGCTTGCATAGCGTTGTGATGGGGCTCACATCCTCCCACTTGTCTGTTAGCCCCGTCTCGACGTGGACCCAGTCGGACCAGGGCGTCTCGGAGTCGGCGCCACGAGCACGGACACGAACTTCGGCACCTTCAGCTTCACCTAGGGGGTCATCCGGCCACGCACGTACACGGAGTCTGAAGAGTCTACAGCGAAGCTCTTGGGCTCGCTGCTGCCGCGCATGATTTCGAGGTCGTAGCTGCTCTGGGTCCAGTCCTGAACCGTGCCATTGAATCGCCATGAGATTCTAGGTTCGGTCTCGGCTATGCCGAGGGCGGAGCGGTGATGCTCAAAAGACAGGCGGCCAATGTTGAGGGCCATGTTGATTTGGTGAACAGAAACCTCGGGCGATCCAAGGTGATGATTCTGCCTCATGTTGGCTAGACCCGACTTACTTTTAACCTCGCAGGTAGGAGGTGATCCTCGCATGGTGACACTCCGATACTGGCCATTTCGATCGACATGGTGTCGCTCCCATCTATGGCGAGATGCCCGATTTGCACAGCATGCTTTCCCAAAAGATGTGTCGCTCTGTCGGTCTGAGGATGCGGATTTGCGGGGTAGACTGCATTTACGAGGTCCGCGGACGTGGGGTTGCATCGTGATCGAAGGGCCTTGGCTGACCAACACAGCCTCCGGGACTACTCCGGCACCTTCCCTATGGAACCAGGACACCGGACGACTCGTGGTCTCCAGACTATCTACTGCAAACAAGATCGAACAGCTGCACACACTGGCGAGGGCGTTATGAGGGTGCGGGCCCATGAACGTGCCGACAGGAAATGACGTCGGTCTTCACCCGTAGTGCTGCAAGGTAACATCGAGTTTGAGGCTGCTTTGAAATATAGATCTCGAAATCACAACAAACCCAGATCATCTTGGCCTGACCCCGTGGGGAATACCCTTGCCACACCGGCTCTTTTCGCCATGTTTACCCCCCCCTTCTCCCCCTTTTGCTCCAGAGGTGGATCGATACGGATCTCTGAACTCGTGGGGTCATTTTCTCCTGGTCGTCTGGAGAAACGATGCCTTCATTGGGCAGATGCCGGCGTTGCAAGAAAGGTTGTGAAGGGTGACACCTGGATGGCAGATATCGTCCGAATGCAAGACTTGTCGCGCCAATCAGCCCGGGGCGCCGATCGGGATATCCAACCTGCGGGATATCCGACCTGCGGGATTCCCGAGCCTTGGTCCTACCGGGTTCTCATTTCGGTTCTCGGGGCATGGTTGCAGCGAGGGCTAGGACGACGTTGCTGTCGATGTGGAGTGCACTTAGCTCATCGCTGGAGAGAGAGATCAAATTGTGGTGGGATTTGGGTTCGAGAGACTTGGGGCTCGACGAGATGAGCAGTTCTGTCATGGAACTCGGCTTGGACTCTTCGATTGGAATGTGGGACGACGACCGCTACAGGGCCTGACCAGATCCTCTCCTCTATGTGCCATTTTGGCAGCCTCTTCCGCCAGCCCTCCGCAACGGCAAAGAGAGCCGTACCAGGACTGGCGACATGCGACTGGAAGCGGCCCCGCAGATTCGGAGGACAAGCGGCGCACCCCGGAGCCGACCCGCCCGTGATTTCGGACCCGGCCCTCGGGTCAAAAGCCCCCCCCCCACCAAGTGCCTACCGAGCGTCTAATGCCGAGGCTATGCGCGCTGGATTGACGTAAGCAGCTACCGACCGACTGGTACCTGACTTGGCCTTGAATCCCCGGTTGCACTACCGCTATCGGCCTCTGACCCTCTCATACTCATCGCTATGGATCAATTTGCTTCCAAAATGCGGTCCTTGACGCTCATTTCTCATCAGATTCGCTCCAGATGCACCACAAGGGCCTCACCGCGTCTGCCCTCTCGCGCCCGCCTGCATACGCCAGGCAGGCTTGTCTCAGAAACACCCACGCCCGCCGCGGCCGCCAGCCCGTTGAATTCGAGATGGCTGTCGGATCTACAGGCACGGATCCGACGGATTGCTTCGGTTGAGTCTCGCTCGGGGAAGCATGAGGAGGCGAGGCAGCTGCTGCGGCTCACGGAGACGCAGTGGCTCGGTTTTCTCGCGGGGCGCGATGGCTTCCTGACGGGTGAGGGGTGGAGGGGTCTTGACCGGCATCAGGTGAATTGGGGTGACATGGTGAGTTCAGCACGACGGACGGCATACGTTTGGGTGGTTTCTGGCGACTGACTAGGTGGTCTTGCTTCGGGATGAGTAGGATTCAATGGTCAGTGGCTCTCCCTAGTGTCAATGACAGCCGCTGACGTTCACAGGGTAAGGCTGCATTGGCCCCGGCAGCAGGCCTCGCATCAATCATCGCTTACATCGCCGCCTAGGCCACGTCAATAATGTCATGTACAACAAGTTCGCCGAATCAGCACGCGTCAACTGGATCCTGTCCCACGGCAAGCGAGACGGCCCCGAAGCGGCGAAGGAATGGGCCGAGATCATGTCGCCGCGCGGCGTAGGACTCATTCTGAAGAGCATCAAGACGGACTTCAAATTCGTATGCCCGAAACCCCACCCATGCGCCCTGACTGAATGCTGTGTTGCGGTGCTGACCCCGCCCTACAGCCTATGGCGTACCCCGACCAAGTCACCGTGGTCTACAAGCTCGCCGAGAGGCCGACTTATGCGTCCGACCACCTCAAACTCGACGCCCTGCTTCTTTCTGAACAGCACCGCCGGGTCGCGGCGCGGTGCATCGAAGAGGTCACCATCTATGACTACAGGGCTGCCAAGAAGGCCGTGCTGCCGCCGCACATGGTGGACCGGCTTGCTGAGACGTATGAGCTGCAGGAGGAGGCGAGGAGAGAGTTTGACGAGAGGGCGAACGGCGTATTCAAGGCCATACAGGAGATTGAGGCAAAAGAATAGATTGTGGACGCTTGCTCTGGTTTTGGCAAGTGGTCGTGGGGGATGTCGTTAGACTACATGTGCTTGCAAAATGCAAGCCCAATTTGACGTGGTGCGTTTCGGGCGCCAATACTCGGGAAAAGGCCCCCTGTCGTGTCGAACCGCGCTCGGGATAGCGAGATGACGAGCGAAAGAGCTGATGTAGATTGAAGGCATCACGCACCTTTGGTGACACAAGCCATATGCCCATGCACCGCAGACTAATCAATCTACGCATACGATGTGCTGCGAACGATCCATGTGAGATGCTTCATGAACTTGGCAGAAGATCGCCTGTGGGTCGAAAAACTAGTCGAGTCAATGGCTGCCTATGAGCGGGTGACAATCGCCTTGAGGTTGATTCGTTTGCATGAAGCATCAGCCTATTTCTGCACTCTGATTCGGTCCCGATGAGTTGGTATTCCATGAGGCCGAATGCTCGTACATGACCGCCAGGATGTTGCGGTAAGAATGGGTGGATTCTTCGCCACTTCTCTGGTTTCTCACCGGTCAGATGGTATGTGTGGCCTCCAAGGACGTGAACTGAGGTTGCCTGATGAGGTACCTGATAGTCGTCGTAGTAACCTGTACTGGTGTTGTCGCCCAATGCAATCATAGGCAGGCATCTCAACCCCCCCTTATTCAGGATATGATGGTGAAAACAGGAATTTATCATTCAATTCTCTTCAGTGCTTTATTACTCCGAGACCGCCACATCATGTTCAGACACCCAAAATGACGTCTGCCGCCTTCTCACTGATCATGTATACCGGTACTGCGATGTAGAAGCCCGGAATTTCAGGGAACACCGAAGCATCGACGACCCTCAACCCATTGACACCTCGGACCCGGAACTTGGAATCTAGCACAGCATTGGGATCGCCGTCCTTGCCAATGGGACACGTGCAGCTGGCATGGTGGCCCCAGGCCTCGTTCGTCACCCAGTCCTCCAGTTCGTCATCCGACACGCCTGGGCCAGGCCACACCTCGGTGAAGCCGCCGGCAAGGGGGATGACGTCCCTGAACATCCTCCTGGACAGCTTCATGCCCTCGACGACAGCTTTTCTGTCCTCGGCGCCACCCTGGGCAAAGTAGTTGAAGTCGACGAGCGGCATGTCGCGGGGGTCCGAGGATCGGAGACGAACGGTGCCGGCGCGGTTCCTCGAGTGAGCCTTGAGCGTGATCCAGCTCCAGTGCTTGCGGTCGGCTGTCCCATCGGCCGAGTAGCCCGGATAGTAGCCCGGGAAGGCCACGGGCGCGCCGGCAATGAAGAGATCAGGATCGCCCGTTGCGACGGAGGACTTCTTGACGACGCCGAGGGAGATGCCGTTGGAGCCGTAAATGCCGCGGTCACCTCCGGCCTGCCATTTTTTCAGGCACGGGTCGCCGGAGCGGCCGAACGTGCAGCCCTCGATGATCTGAAAGTCGGTCTCAGTCTCGCCGATGACGGTCGTCTCGTATCGATCCTGGAGGTTGGTGCCGACGCCGGGAAGGTCAGCGACGACGCTGATACCGAAGGATTCGAGCTCCTTCTTCGGGCCGACGCCGCTGAGCTTCAGCAGTTGCGGCGTGTTGAAGGCGCCCGCGGACAGGATGACCTCGGCCGTGGCGTTGACAGAGCCAGCGGTCGAGGTGGCAGCCTGCTGCGCTCGGGGGTCGGCCTTGTAAAGGCTCTTGCCGGAGAGGAAGTCGACGCCGACGGCTCGAGGCTTGGCTGCCGTCCTGTCGAAGCGGACTTTGGTGACGAGCGTGTTCATCTTGATGTCCAGATGGTACTTGCGGGAGCCGTCCGCGTTCTTTGCGTTTGCCGTGTCAAGAACAAATTCCCGAGGCCCGACGCGAATGCCGTCCTTGACGGTAATGGGCACCTGGTACAGGCCCTCGGCGGCATCTCGCGACGGCGAATCGACATTGATGTCGCGCAGCAGCACCTGACCCAAGCCGGCTACAGTCGACAGAATCAGACCCAGGAAGCTCTGGCCCATGGACGAAGCGGCAGAGACAATGACGGTGAGGAGCTTGAGATCCTTGATGACAAGGCCGAGATCAGTGACGCTTGTTGTCAGCCAGCCGCTGAACCCGTGGCCGGCGACACCATTTGGGAGGTACCGAGCGCTCTCAAGACGCTTGAAATAGTTGCGCATGGCCGACGCGCGCCAGGAGGTATCGCCAGTCAGTGTGGCTATCCGATCCCAATCGCTCGCATGAGGATACACTGTGATCAGGGCATTGTGGGCAGCGCAGCCACCCAGAGTGCCGGCTCGAGGATACAAGACGCCGAGAGGGGTGGCACCAGAAGGTGGGTTCAGTCCAGAGTACAGCTCTCCCGACGCTGTCCGATATGTCATCTTGGAGTCCTTCTTCTGGGCATTGAGGCTGCTGTAGTGGTTGACGAAATAATCCCACTGCATGGGCGTATACTCGGTCGACTGCAGGTTCAGGGCGGGGACTTGGTACGGGATCGACGCGCCCTGGTCGTCGCCGGCTTCGATGAGGAGGACTTTCTTGCCGGCAATGGCGAGCCGAGCAGCCAGCGGGCCTCCGCCGGGACCAGAACCCACAATGACATAGTCGTAGGAAGCGAGGATGGTCCCAGTCTGTCGTGTGTCGAGTTGGCTTGGTCTGCGAGAATCGACGAGTTAGACTCTGCACTCCGTAACGTTGAAGACAGCATCTGCCGGTCAGAGACAGTTGCCAGCACTTACACTGCCGAGACAGAAGCCGTCAGGATGGGCAACAGCAGAGTTGACGCCTTCATCTTGTCGCGCTGTCAGATGCGTGCTTCGGCCGGTTTGAGTTGGCGCGGAACAGATCGATCTGGGAGCAACCGGCCCAAGGTGGTCAACGGCAACCTCGCTGGAAGATATACATATTGCTGCCGCCAGCACTCTGCAAAGGCGCTCTGCATGTCATTATTCGCCGTACAGTCACTCCCAAACAAGATGCTATTTCCGCGCAGCAGTCCACTGGGCTTCTGCAACTGATCACGATCGAAGGCCGAGACGGGAAGGAGGGCTAGAACTCGAAGCATCTTTGCTGAACGGCCCCACCAGC